AGCATCAAGCAAGTCATCTATACGAGGCAATGGGTAAGCATTCTTTCTTGTGATGCGGTTTAGACCGCGATAGTCAATACACATGCGGAGTTTGCCTCCTTTCTTTGGCACAAACAACACAGGAGCACCAAATTCAGATTCACTTGGTTTGATCCACCCTTTATCAATCATTTCATCGATCTGCCGCCGGAGTTCCTCCAACTCGCCGGGTCCCATATGGTACACGCAGCCCTTTGGAGGAACTGCACCCTCGACCAATTCGATGGTGTGTCGGACTGGTCGCGTGGGGACTCCACGTGGCTCAGCCAAGACTTCTGGAAACCGATCGAGGAGGGCTTGGATGTCTGATGGGACAGGTGGGGGTGGGGAATCAGCAAAGGGATCACCTAGATCTGGTCGCAAATCACGAATAGAAACAACTGAATCTGAAGTGGGATCATGTGGAACATCAAGAGGTGGAGTAGTAGTAACCGAAGTAGTATCCGTAGATGAAGCAGTAGTAGTACTATTCGCAAAAGTAGAAGGCACATGAGTAGGACGAACAAAGGCAACATACAACTGTTCTTCCTCTTTGTGCTTGCACCATTTCTTGCAGAACTTCATAGCATTCAGAAAAGTCACTGGGGATTCATGCTTCTCATCCAAGAGGACAAGAAGCTCGTTCCCCTGAGCATCTTTGACCATGAACAGTGACTCCTTCCACTTGGTCCATTCGCATTGGGACTGCAGCCAGCCCAAGCCAAGGACAGCGTCGAAGCGGCACTTGTCAAGGACATAGAAGTTCAGTGCGTGGGTGACAGTCTTGTTCTGTCAAAGGTAGTGCGCACACCTTTGACTGCATGCGTAGAAGAGACAACTTCTTTGTTGCCAACTTGGGTCCGGCAAGGGTTCTGCAAGGCCACTTGCTTCATTCCCAAGCCCACTTTGCGTATCCCGTGAGGTGACATGAAGTTAGCAGTGGCACCACAATCAACCAAAACACGGAGATAGCGGTGGTTAATGAGAAGCTTGAAGAAGATCAGCTTCACTGTCCCTTGGGCACAGTGCTGTTTCATTTCAGCCCAATGCTCCAAGTGGTAGTGGAAGTCGACCAACCCAGACTCCTCCCAAGGCTCGACATACAACACATTACACGTTTCAGCCTTGGCTTCAGCAGACGGTTGGGCTTCAAGGGAGGACTGCTGATCTGATTCAGGTTCGGTCTCCCTTGTCGTAGAGTGTGCTGAACTCATCTCTATGCCCGAGTCTGGTTTCCCTGAAGCCTATAGCAGTCTTGCACTTTGTGGTTCGCTTTCTGGCAATGCAGGCAAACCCCCTTCTTGAGTCTAGCCCTCCAATCATTTTCTGTGATCCGGAGATCAACCCAAGGTTTAGTGGTTGCATCTTCCGGTTTGGCAGGGATCTTGACTCCCTTGGGGAGTTGGACAAAACTCTTTCTCGAATTCCGATTTTGACCCCTTGCATTGGCAGTCTTTTTAAAGGCAGTAAATTTTTCTTCTTCTTGATTAACATCAGATTCTTGAGTTGAAGAACAGGCTGTATCAGCGTCCTGTTCTTTGTCGTCACCAAGAGTGGGGTCGTCTGCTTCGGCCTCCTCTTCTCGCTCCAACAGGTCATGCACAGCAAAACGGCTGCTGCCTTTGAACCGCCTGCCGCCCGTAGGCTTCTTGCTGCCTGCTGCGGTAACGAGGTCTGCTGCCTCGAGACTGACTATGTCTTTCATTAAGACAAACCAATCAGTATAATCGATGAAATCCCTGCCCAGGCGATTAGTATAGTTGGTGGGGACTGCGCCCTTGACCACATCCAGACAAGATTGATCAGTTAATTCAAGACCAGGCGTAGCAAACATCTTACTCAGGTAAGTTTGCAGGCTCTTCATAGTGCCTACCCATTTGCTGCGCTTGATCTTGTCGAGCTGACCTCTTACCTTGGCTGCGGCGTGTGGATCCTTGTACTGATTAATGAGGAGCTCTTCAATGGTGGCAACTTCTATCTTAGGGACCCCATCCCGTATAGCCTGGACTTCTAGGAAGCCCCGTACCATAGGTTCGACGTTCATTCCCACGGACTGGGTCTCTAGTTGAGTCCCCAGTACTTCAAAGTAAGCTCTCATGGAGCTGATCCAGGACTCGACGTCTTCTTTCCCATCGTACTTGGACGGTATCTGAACCGCCTTTCGGTCCACATAGGAATCGGAGCGACTGGGACCAACTGCAGCTGGTTCTGGTCCTTGGGCTGCAGCAGTTGCAGAATTTCCTGCCTCACTGTTGTTTCCAACAGCAACGGAATCTGCACCTACTGCAGGTCCTCAAGAGTTAACCAACGCATTCGAAGAAGATGAAGTGGACGAGGATAAGGTAAGAGGGGCAAGGCTGGTTGAGATTGCAGCTCCAGAGTCAGGGGGTAGAGGAAGAGGATTGACCACTTGGTCTCTCCGCAGCGCAGCCATTTCTGCCGTCAAGTCACGGTACTTGCCGGTCATATCAGTCAGTTCGTCCCGAAGTTTCTTCAGCTCATCGAAGACTTCGGCGAACTGCTTGGTATGATCTTCAAGCTTCCGAACTTGGAAGAAAGCAGCTAGGATGGACTGCAGCTGTTCCCCACACTGTTCATTAGACAGTGAGGGAATAGTTGCCAAGATGGACTCTTGATGCTTCAACAACTCCTCCTTCCTCTCCTTCTCCGTCTCTTCTTCCCTTCTGAGTGCAGCATCTAGAAGGACTTGCAAATGCGTTTTTTCCACATCGCTGGCTGCATCTAACATGGCCCGCCATTGGGCTGAAGTTAGCTGGGCCATCTTTGGACTGTCAGAGTTGGTAGGTGGTTCAGAGAGACGCCAGACAGCAAAAGAATCAATCAGACTCTCAAGAGGCACACTCCCCTTTTCACTTGGACGAACACTCCGTTTCCCAACCCTTAACCACTCCAGACGGTCACTCTCCCTCTCTCCCTTTTCTCCCTCCCTTCTCTCTCTCTCTTCCTTCTGTCTGCGAGTTTCCACGCGCATCGGAAATAGGTCAGAAAACAATTTACAGTTCAGAGAAAAGAAGGTAGAACTCCTAGCCGGAGCGGCGTTTCATTTGGACTTAGAAGGAGCAGCAAACCAAAAGAAAAGAACAATCAATTTCATCAGAGAGGTCTGATCCAGCGACCCAGTCTGATCAGACTGCATATGAGGTCCTCTCAAGTCCAGTCTGACCAGCTCCGTGTCCGCACAGCAAACCAGACAATGAGTGACTAGATGCAGCAATGGAGAATTGAGTGGTGTACAGGGTGCGAGTCAAGCCACGGACAGTGCGACCAAAAGACATGCGAAACGTCAAAGTCGAGATCCCCTCGGCAGTGGGTGCCCTAACCAAGAAGAAATGAACTCCGAATCACTGTCAGAAGAAAGAGGGGTTAGTACCCAACAAACTAAGAGGGGTTAGTACCCAACAAACTTAGGCCCAAAGGTCTCTCCTTGTTTAGGCCCGGTCCCACTGGGTACCAGAGGTCCCACGTAGGTCGTGACCAAGTCCCAACCAAGAAGAGTACCACAAGGACTCGGTTCAGTCTCAACTACACTGAGAAACGAAATTTCAACTTCCGACAGAGCCTACAGACTACATCCGTTCAGAAATGAAAGACAAAGCACTGTAGAAAGAATCGGCATTTGAATCAAGATACTTCATTTCCCATCCATCAGGTGAGTAGATAGCTCACATGCAATTCAATCACACAATCAAGACCTCAGAGGAGTAGGAAAGAAACCCGGAGTAACCCCAACAGGACAAGCAATACCAAGCACTCATACATGGGCTCCCCGTAGGTGCACGGCACTTACCTGAGTGGCCTTGAGCTTCGAGTTGAACAGAACTCACCCCCCCTTTCATGTGGTCCTCCTGACCCTTCTAACGCTACCCCTACACTAGTGTCCTATCTCCTAGGAGGGTCTGACTCCAACACCCAAGTGCAACGCCGGATCCCCCGTCGATGCTGAAGAACAAAGTGACAACTTGCAGTCCGCTGATGCCAAGTAGCCGCTGACCCTCAAGCTCGCCTACTTGAGGGCAGCCCTTAAGTTGCCAAGTGCCTCCCTTAACTCAAATTCCAGGTGCGAGTGCCTCTCACTGTCGCCTCTCACAAGTTGCCGCATGAAGTCTCCTTGCCATGTCTCGCCACCCTAATCTCACTCTCATACAACCTGGTTAGGTTCAGTGTCGACCCTACACGACCCATCCAGGTGGGGGCAGCTTCCCTGAACCACGCTGCCCCACTTCCCTCACGGACCAACCCTAACCCTAAGTGGTGCCCTCAACCACTTAGGTTAGGGTTAGGGCAGCAAAGTCAACTCTCACCAGCAAGTAGAATCCGCTCTGATACCAATGTTATGACCCTGGCCAATTGCGAGATACACATCCATCAAAAGCACAATGCCGTCCAACTGCGAAAGGAAATGAATGAACTTGAGAGGAGAGAGAAGGTAAGAAGAAGGAGGAGCAGTAAGAAAGCAGAAGAAGATGATGTACACCAGCAAAAGCAAATGTCAAGGCTCTTCTTCTTCGCCCAACAACCTCCTCCCTGTTATCTCCCCCTCTCTTATTCATACAAGAAATAATAATACAATGTCGAAAGGCTGAACCAGAATCAATGTCCGAGTCCCACTTCTACTGCAGGTAACACTTGAGGTCCACCATAGCCATGGCTGCCTCTACCCTCCTTCCACCTTGAAGGCCGAGGCTATGGTGGACTACTACGGCCTGGCCCTGATATGCAACGGACAACGCAAAGCAGCTATGGCTKCCCAGGCTCTGCTGTGCAGAGGACAACTCAAAGCAGCTATGGCTGCCACCACTCAGGYCGCCATGCCCCACTCTGCCTCGAAGCTTCTTGGTGCCKCTCTCCCCTTGCTGGGGTCTTCTTGCTGCAGCGCCCACCAAGGTGATGAAGATGGCTGCCACCATAGCCAGGTAAGTACCCCTRGCGCTCCTCCCTCTTCCTCCTTCTTCTTCCTCCTCCCTTCTTCTTCTTCCTCCTGTCCTTCTTCTTCCTCCCCCATCAGCGCTACTCCAACCCAGCGCTGCTCCACCTAGCGCTCCACCAGCGTGTTGCCAAACTTGCACACTGAGAATGAGGYCGGGCTYTTCGCCCRGTCTRAAGATATAGCGGCSTGCTTGCCTCCYTGGGCGGTGACTTCCAGGCCGCTCGGCCTCTCCAGCAACCGGTACCTCCTCCGTTTCGGAGGGAAACATCATTGCAGACTCTGATATTGCCCGTACAGGCCCTAGACTCCGACTGGTTAGACTGGTACCTGCCTAGACCTAGCATACAACTACTGGGCCTCTAAAAATGCAACTTTTGTCTTTTTGTGCTCGGCCTCCAGTACCCGCACATCTACCCCTTCGTAGTGCGGTACCGGCCTCCCGCTACTTGAGTGTTTTCCCGCTGCAATCCCCCGATGCCAAGGCCACAGGTAAGTATCGGCCCTGAGGGCCCAGCGAACGAACAGGTGCCCTTACGGGCCACATTCAAGCAACCGGCACACAGACAAGCACGATCACATACACACTCAAGCCATCCAGCACTCAGACGGACATGCAGTCCAACAAGCACGCATACACAGACTTAGCAGAAAGCAGGAAACTCAGTCAGGCATTCAGTCTATGGGCAAAACTCAGAAATCAGCTGTGTGTTTAAGTCCTTGTTCGGACGGGTCATCACATTTTTGTGTTTTTTTTGTGGTATTCCGCGTTCTGGTCGAACAAGCATTTGGTCTGTTCGGCAACAATGGCTATCTCTCGTTTGAGGGATCTTTGTTCGCTTTCTTCGCCAGAGGAATATGTTTGAGATTTTCTGGTTCTTTTGTCCCTGCCTTTCGACAGTTTCCACTTCTTCGGAACCATGTCTCTGATGGGGTCTTTGTGTGTCTGTGTATCTGCGCTGGACTCGAGTTCGTCGCCCGAGGCTTCTCTTTCCCTTTTCTTCTCGTGGTATCTGAAGGCGCTGAATTCCGATAGCTTGCTCTGCTGTCTCAGGACATCATACGAGCTCATTGATGTGTGAATGCCTGCTATTGAGGTCTTGTTGTCCCTGCCTGTCTTCTCGTGATGTTTCATGCATGCCACCCAGATGTCGAACTCCTCCTCCCTCTCGTTTTTTGCATTTTCCAGATATTCCTGCAGCCACGGGATGTGGGAGTCCCCCTTGTCTTTTGATCTTCCATCCTGCTCCTTTTTATTAGGAGATATATCCATGCCTTTCTGGGACAGACCCTGGTCCGTTTCTGGCTCGGGGCCTGCACCCAGCAGGGGGGCCTGTGAGTTCTGATCGCCAGAGGGGTCACTTCCCTCTGCAGGTGTGCTGCCTTATGTTTTTTTGTTCCCCCTGGGTTCGTCCTTGTCTGTTTTCTGGGGGGAGGCCTGCCTTTTGAGAGAGGGGTCGATCTGTGGGTTTTGTGCGTCTCTGATCAGTTGGGCTTTGTCAAGGATACAGTTGTCATCTTCTGAGTAGGGGAAGGAGTTGACCGTTTGTTGCCTGATCGACTCCAGGTCCGACATCAGGTTCTCATGCTTCTTCTCTTCCTTGATTGCTCGGGAGTCGATCACCGGATCTGAGTGGGTTATCCCTGGTATCCCGGTGATCGTTGCTCCCACGTGGTGCCATTTGTTGTTTAATAGGGGGAAGATGTCTGGTTGTTCGACCGTTGGGGTGGTGTTTGTGTAGGTCCAAATCCATTTGGGTTCTGGGATGTCGTCGTCGAAGACCCGGCCATCATAGTCTGAGTCGTTGATGAACTTTATCCCTTTTGCTTCCTCCACCTCCACTAGCATGTCTGTCTCAGGATTTTCTGCTCAATGGGACGCGGGCATGTGGGGCTTGTGCCCAGATGCCCTCTATATTTGCATCTACAGATTGGCGAGTCCTTGGTGGAGACTGTTACAGTTGAGATTTTGTCTCCCATGACGCATTGCCATCCCTCTGGGAAAGCTGGGGGATCGTCGGTGAGCACTTCCAGGATTGTTGTGACTGAATCGTAGTGAGGGGCTAGGAAATCGGGCGTGGGAAGGACCCATCTCAGCACCTTGTTGGCTGGGTACTCCACCTCCATTCAATCCTTGATCAGGGGATGACCTCTGGGGGGGATATTGTTGAATTACACCCAGAATTCATCCCTCATCAATCATTGTTTGTAAGCTGCCGCCAGCGAAACTTCAGCTCACTGGGCTGTTTTCGGTTTCCAGCGTGACAGGGTTCAGACCGAGTCATTGCAGTTCAATGTCTCGTGGTTCTGTAACAGGTGTGTCACTTGGCTTGCATCTTTGAACACTGCGATCATCATGTTTCTGGCCAGGCCGAGCAGAGAGAACTTGTCGACTTCCGTTTTATTTTTTTTGTGCTCCTGAATGGTTTTCACCATCCACTTTCTTTTTTCGATTGGGGAGAGTCTTGCGCCTGCGTTAGAGAAGGACAAGATGAGCGCGTGTTTTTCATATGTCGCGTTGGTGTCAGCAATCTTGTCCTTTGGATAAGCCCATGCAGTCACCTCCTCATCAGTGTTATCTTTGGTGTTTCAACCCTTGATCGTGACTTTCTCTCATTTGATTTGTGGTGCTTCCAAGAGGAAGCGCAATGTTTCGTGGTCCACATTCAATGAACTCTGGGGGAGAGTTTTGGATGTAGCCGTTCTGGTGGCTGCTACCGCACTGTATCGTCGTTGGTAAGTCTGAGCCATGCTTGTTTTAAAGGGTGCTAGTATGCGTTGGAAGCTATTGTTTTTTTTCTATTTTTCTGGACTGGGTGGTCTAAAAAGGGTTCCTTTGCTTCTCATTCAGGGCCAGTCGTGTTTTTTTTTGTTTTTTTTTGTTTTTTTTGGTTAAGGGTGCTCACGTGCAACTGAGCTCTTCGACTGCAACCTGGTAATCAGCTGGTTGGGACTGATGAGCTATTAGCTTGGTAGTTTTTTGCTCTCCAGTGCTGGATGATTGTGTACTGTCTGAGTGTGGCATACTGTGCAGCCACACGGGCCTGCAGGGCCCGACTAGACGGAAAATAAGGGCCCTACAGGCCCTGTGTCGTTTCAGCCTAAAAGCCTGAAAACAAGGGCCTACAGGCCCTGTGTCGTTTCAGCCTAAAAGCCTGAAAACAAGGGCCTACAGGCCCTGTGTCGTTTCAGCCTAAAAGCCTGAAAACGAGGGCGTACAGGCCCTGTGTCGTTTCAGCCTAAAAGCCTGAAAACGAGGGCCATTTTCAGGCCCTGATAAAGTCCACCTGCCCTGAAACTTAGGCACCAGACCAGGGTTTTAGCACCGGCCATTTTGGGCCTGTTTTCAAGACAACCTTTGTTTGAACTTCAACGCCAGGGTCTGGCACGTTTTGGCATTGGCAAGAGCAGCCTCCTGGACGGGCCAGCACTATATAAGACTGGCCCGCCCTACAGGCTGCAGGCAGTGGACGAGGTAGTTCATAGGGACTTCCCAGGCACTTCACGTGCAGGAGGCAGGAGGCAGTCTTCAGGATTCGGCAGCAGCACTCTGGAGGAGCGCTGCAGTAGTAGTAGTAGCGTTAGCAGTAGTCTTCAGCGCTGGGCGCTATTAGGAGCTAGAGTAGCGTTGGAGAGAGAGAGATGGTTGGCGGAGGCCACGGAGACTGACCTGTGGCCCCATAGCTCCAGCTTCGTCGTCGATGTACCTGCAACAAGGCGCCACCTTCACAGGTTAGTACCGGACTGAGAGAGAGAGAAAGAGAGAGAGAGAGAGAGAGAGAGAGAGAGAGAGAGAGAGAGAGAGAGAGAGAGAGAGAGAGAGA